AGAAGGTGTTGTAGAAAGAGACGTTGGAGAGTGGAGTGAAGAGGGAGCCAATACCACTTTCGTTGTAGAATGTAGCTGGCTGCATTTGCTTACTTGAGATTACCGGTGTACCAGGTTCTGGAGGGATACAACTGAATGGTTTAAAGAGGACGAGCCGCAGAAGACTTATTGATTGCATCTATGGATGACACAACGTCTAGGGGAAACAATTTGGGCCAGAAGTATAAAATTTAGGGTGCGAGGAGGAATGACTGAAAACCTACACAAAACTCATGTGTACGGTGAACCATCCAACTCAATAGGCAAAAAAACCATATGTCGTATAAATTTAGTGATGGCAAAAGAAAATGAGATTCATCACACCTCACAACACAATCACCTACAACTGGTGACTTCTAACTCAATTTATTCGATATTGATTTGTATGGATAAAGTGACAGGAGATGAACAGTAATTGATTAACAAACTATGATGTGAAGGGGTTACAAATTTAGATACATTTACAGAAGATTTTTCCGAAACTACACTTTTTTTTCTGCTCCTGGAAGATACTGGCAAGATGGATTTTGGTGAACAGTTGGTGATGGTACTGTTTAAAGCAGCGTTGGTATGTGACCACTATTTCATAATGGGGGAAAGCAATTGACTGGTGCGTTATCTTCCTATTCGTACTCACCAGTTTTAAAGCTTCTTCAGTGTGTAGATAAAATGAATTATCCTGCAATGGCCTGAGTGTCGGCCAATATTTTGCGATTTTTGTACAAGAAAATATCCCCAAAGGTATGTTCTCATGCGACTGGAAACAAAAGGTCTTTAAAGTAGAGAAGTTTTTTCAAATTCATATTAAATCAATCATTAGAATTAAAATTGAACTAAAAATTATAAATAAATATTAGAGCGTAGTCTTTACTTAACAAAGACTTCCATCTTCTTGACTTCATGGATAAACAAAGTATCTCTTCTTTTGTATTTTCCCTTTGTCCATTAAGTTTGGTATGTGAGCAAACAGTTACCCTGTATCCTATGATGTAGCCAATGTGTAATTAAAAAAACCAAACAACCTATCTCGTGTTCCTCAATACATTTACTTTCTCTTTTTGAATGAAATATTTTGTGGCATTGGGAATGGATGTGGTACAATATAGGAGTTAACTCTAGTGGCAGTACCGGCAAATGCATTATACCAAGCAATAAATGCAGTGATGGTACCAATGACACCACCAGCACGAGTAACACCAACTCTTCCACTAAACTCACCCCCAGCAAGTAATAAAAATGTCAAAAACAAAAAGAAAAATAACAAGAAAAAGGCCCAAGTTGATTTCAAAGTGTTCAACACCAAAATAAACGTAAACAATGCCCAACCCAACAAGAAAAAAGCAACTGCATTGGCAAATTGGTCACTTTTTTCATAAGCAGCAGCAATACCAAAGCTTTCAATGAAAATGGCGCCGTAACTCAACCAAAAAGCCCCATAAGAGGTTAAAGCAGTAAAACCAAAAGTGTTTCCGGTAACAAACTCAAATAAACCAGCCAAGAATTGTACCATACCACCATAAAAACAAGCCAAGGAAACAACAGCATTAGGAATAGTGATACCCATAGCACGAGAATTGACTAAACTTAAAACAAAAGTAGTTAAAGCGAAACCAGCTAAACCAATTGGAGCAGGGTTGATATTGACTTTAGGGTATGGAATTGCGCCCGGGTTCAAAGTACCACCGAAAGCTGACATTAATTCGTGACGATAGAATTTTTGGCCATTTATGGTGACAAATTCATCGCCATCTCCATGAATGTGCACTCTAGATACACCATTGTCATCCATGTCAGTGGATGGATGTTTGGAAGGAGCCGAATGTTGTGAAGATGCAGAAGACATATTGTTGTAGTAGTTGTAGTTGTAGTTTTAGTTGTAGTTGTAGTATTAGTGGTAGTAGTATTAAGTGTGATTAAGTTTGTCGTATGATGTGGTGTTAGTTTGATATTAGGAAATATAAGCACAGTATACCTTAGAAATAGGATATATATATATATATATATAAGTTGAAAAGAGGATTCGTAAGAAAACAAAATTGAGAAGTAGATTTCAAAGGAAATATTGGGTGATATTTATATTTTCTTTCTATAATAGATTAAATATATTAAGTTACGTACATAATAAACGGTTAATACCAATACCCTCAAACATAAAAAAACAAAGAAGAAGAAATTGACAAAAATAAACTATTTTATGTTTTGTGTAATTAATACTAATACTTTATTTATACGTTATGTTTTTTTTTGCAAATTTAAAGAATAAGAAAAAAAAACCCCGGACATGAGAAAGGACAAAAACAACATCTACAACAACACAAGCGAAATTGTCTTTTTTTTTGTGGGTGTATTTGTGGTGTATTTGTGGTGTAGTTTGTAGCGTGTAGTGTGGATGTTGTGGGTGAGTACATTGTGGTGTAGTGTGTGGTGTTGTGAAGCTTTTTGGTTTGCTTACTGTATTCAGTATTATTTACTACGATTAGCTTTCTGTATCCCCTAGGATGTATTTCTTGTGATTCTACTGGTCCAGTCCTTTCTTTACTATATTTTGTTAGTTTGTGGTTGTTGTGATTGTTGTTGTTGTATGTTTTGAAAAGTACTCAATTGAGTATATAGTTTTCCTTTTCGTCTAATAATTCTTCTCATACATATAGTCATACATTTTTGTATAATAGGGTAAGTGTATAGTATGGTGTATGGTATGGTGTGTAGTAGTATATATGTGGTGTGATATTAGAGAGTAAGTTACATAAGTATAGTTTTAGTTAGTTAAAATGTAATGGTTACTTTCAAGTGGTGTGGTTTTTTTATTTTGTTTTTATTTTTTTAAAGTCTCAAGAGAGAGACTAAAAATAACAAAAATAATAAAAATAAAAACTCCGAGGTCTGACAAGAAAAAAAAAATAAAAAATATAAATGACACAATTTATTCATGACTTTTATTTTTTCTAAACTATATACTATTACTACCACCACCACTACTATTACTACTACTACTACTACAGTGTATTATTACACTACAGATATTTTAGCCAGTGATAACTTACCCATATATGTGTTGGAGAGATTGCAGTAGTCTATAGTGAAGTATATATATTTATGGTGTATGGTTTGTCGTATTTTTTTGTTGTTGTTGACAAAAAGAGTGAGGTCGTGTATTGTTGTATCATATGTTTATTTGTGTATTTATCTCTTTGTCTCTTTTAATTGTTTTATTGTTTTAGGTCCTCAGTCGTTTATTACGTATTTACTATTATGTGTTTACTGTATTACTATTGTGGGTATAACTATTGTACTATTGTGGGTAATGAATGATTGTTAATTTAAATTTGTGGGGAAGATTTTTTTTTTTTTCTTAAGAAACGTTTAAATTAGTTTTCTTCTATACACCAAAACTTAGTCGAAGTTTACACACAAAATATCATCAATTCACAATATACCCGACTCAAACCGCCCCACCACAAACTATACGCCGCCCCACACCACACAGTTCTCCCTTTATACATATATATATATATATATATGTGTATCTAGATTTGTTACAACTTTGTTAGTTTCTTCTTTTGAGTGAGAATATTCGACTTTTCACTTTTAACTGTCTCTTTATTTAAACTTACATTCTTCTTTTAATCTTTTAACCATTTAACCATTTAACCACTTAACCTTTTTGGTTGGTTTTCTTCAAAAAAATTATTTTATTGGTCCAACTACTAGTACTACTACCTCTATTATTATCTTAGCTTAGCTCTATACACCCTCTCTTCTTTATTACTACATTATACAGCATTAATCCACTCAAGCCTGTAGTTATAATAACTTCATTTTGTTACATACATAAGTTTGAAATATTATTTCTTACCCTTATTACCATTATTATTTTCTCTTACTTTACTTTACTTTACTTTTCTATGGAATCCTTTTTTTTTTTCTTTTTTTTTTAAAAAATCAGGTGTTTTGGTTTTTCACTTTCAATCCTCCAGTTCTTATTATAACCCTCTTCTTTCTACATTATACTATCATCATCTTTGTCATTAAGTAACTTGTGATGAGTCAAACAAATATAACATAGACTCAGTTTTTTTTTCAAAATAAAAAATTGGACTTTGACTCTCACAATTTCTACTACCATTTCTATCAAACTTTTGTTTTATTATTATTTGCGTTATTACACAAAATCAACTTTATACGACAATAACAAACAAAGTCATTATACTATACATCTTTGAATTTACAATTAATGAGGTAAAGACAATTGTAAAGATATGAGTTGACAAAGAACTTTATAAATATCAAACTGTAAAAATAAATTAATACCCTATAAACTGAATCAACCGTATCAACTTAAGCCTCTGAATCACTTGTGGTTTTGTAGAAATAGAAAATGGAGGATTAATATACCAAATATTACCTCTTCCTCCCAGCGTAATAGCATAGCCTATAGCTGACTCACACATTTCTGGCATCATCTTCTAATTAGTATCCTCTTCACCTCCTTTTCACTACCCCCCCCCCCCCCCCCGCAACTTTATTTCTCCCAATAACCTTACCTCTTCTCCCATTACCCATACCGTTCAATTACATTGACGACTATGCTTCCCGTTCAATTACATTGACGACTATGCTTCCCGTTTCCCAAACTCTATTACAGGTAAGGGCATAGTGTGTGGCACGATATATGAATTGAACCGGGTAGCAGTACCTGCAAATGCATTGTACCAGGCAATAATTGCCGTAATGAACCCAATGACTCCACCAGCACGCGTAACTCCAACTTTACCCGTCAATGACCCGCAAGCCAACAATATAAATGTCAATTCCAAAAATAAAAACAACAAGAAAAATGCCAACGTTGATTTCATCGTATTCAAGACAATAATAAATGTGAATATTACCCATCCTAATAAAAATAATCCGACTGCATTATTAAATTGATCGGTATCTTCATAAGCAGCAGCAATACCAAAACTTTCAATAAACAAACAGGAATAACTTATCCAAAAGGCTCCATATGACACCAATGCCGTAAAAGCAAAGGTATTACCAGTGGCAAATTCAAATAAACCTGCCAAGAACTGCACAACTCCACCATAAAAACAAGCCAAGGAAACAACAGCATTAGGAATGGTAATGCCCATAGCTTGAGCGTTAAATAAACTTAAAACAAAACAGGTTAATGAAAACCCACATAATCCAATTGGTGCTGGGTTCATATTGACTTTGGGGTATGTAGAAGCTCCTGGGTTTAAGGAACCACCGAAAGCCGACATCAATTCATGACGATAGTAACTATGGCCTCCAATGGTGACTAACTCGTTGCCTTCTCCGTGAATGTGGATTCTTGATACAAAATGATGACGATGTTGTTGTTGTTTGTTTTGTTCATGGTGGTCAGGGAACTCAGTATGGGCGGTGGTTGGTTTATCATAATTTTGTGAAGACGATGACGACATGTTTTTGTTAATCCTTTAAGTTTGCATCCAGCTCTCAACAGTTGAAGAGGATGGAAGTAGGTTCCTGTATCCTCTATTTATATATTTCCTAGTTCATTGTTCTTTCCAATCTCAGTGGCATTTCCTTCTTCTCCTCTGCCTTGCCAGATTCAGTAGTAGCTTTTATAGATGTATTCGGGAAACAGGAAGTAAAAAGAACCCACATAGTGCCACGAGGCATTCTAACAATGCTCTTCTTTAAAGCCACTAAAAGCACTCAAAGCTAAAAATTAAACAAGCACCATAAAATTAGCAAAAAGAAAAAGAAAGAGAAAGAAAAGAACAAAGGGTTACTAAAACCGCAAAAAAAAATTGCACCATCAAAAGCTAAATAACAAAAGATTTTTAAAGTACAGTGGTAATTTGAAGTCATTTACTGAGGTTTATTCAATCTACCAACCCTTGAAATACCGAATACCTTTTCTTCTTCCTCTAGGTAGCTTCCAATTGCAAAAAGAAAAAGAGCCCAAGAAACAATAGAAATTTGTGCTGAACATTTATTCTAATTTCATTGTGGGTGATGATGCACCACCACTCCAAACACCACTTTCTTGCATATTTTTAAAAAACCAATCTGCAACTCTTTATTTTAATAGCAGCATAAGAATTGTTTGTTGAACAATAATGTTGTCTCTACAGTTGCTTTACATAGAAGCATAGCCAAGTATACTCTCCTCAACTTTCTCTATTTTGATGAAAGTGAAATTTAATTGTAAAGTCATATCAAGAGTTACACAGCTATATTCTCTAACATATCAGCCATTCCTTATTCTTTCGGATCATCGGATCAAACCATGTTCATCATGATGTATGGCTTATCCTTTTTTTGCTCTTTTACTTTTGTTTCTTTTTGTTGACCCTTTCGCAAAGTTTGTCGCAACATCCTGTCTCGAAAAGGTTTTGGTAGTGGGGACATGGTAGTGTCCTTGTTGTTTTTGTTTGTTGGGGGTGATTTTTGTGTCCTGTGTGTCAATTTAGTGCCAATCATCTACATCTCAAAGTGGTGTGGTGTTGTATTTTTAGACTGTGATGGCTGTCCATACACCTAAAAAGGATTACGTACATCTAAAGCTGGTATATTTGTTTGGGGAATTATACTTGAATTCGGAGTTTTCCCTTTGTGAGATTTATTTATGTGTAATATTTTGTGGGGTAAATATATTGTTCACGCTTCTGTTCAAAAGTAAACTCAAAAAGGAGAGAGAGAGAATTCATTTCAACATGCGCTAAAGCGTTGACTTTCACAATACTAATTCTAATCACTTCATTCAATCATATACTATCAACACGCCGAGCACCACTTTCCCTTAAGATTATCTATATCTCTTGAAACTTTGTCTATAAACCGTTTGAAAGAAAAAAATTCTATTGAATAGAATTTCCACTTTCTTTTTTTGCTTAATTTTGAAACCAAATATTCTACAAAAGAAACGCTCACACTTGGTACTAAATTGTCATTGATGTTTTGTAATTGACTGTAAACATTTCAGCAGTTCCCACACATTTCATCCATTCTTCCGAACAGTTTATTGTGAACTCTCCACTATCATGGTTTTACAAATGAGAATGGCTTATTCATCAATATAAGATATTTACACAATATCAGTTCCTGCTCGAACTCTACGTTCAAAAATAATAGAACTCCCTTTGAGCCGATTTGCTTTCAACGGAGATCTTATCTAATCTCTCACACAGCAAACTGCTAGATTTTGCAGCAACGATTACACTCCCTTATATAAAATAGTAGTGTAATATTATTAAAAAAGCTCTTCATCAAAAGTCATTTGCAAGAAAGTAAAGATGCAATCCAATAGAGCAATATTGCAGTGTTGACACCTCATAATACATAACTAAGCGAGTTTCTACAGACCGCCTTCTTGCAACCACATCCTCCTCACACAAATGCCTCAAAACATTAGAAACGTGTTTATTAATGCATAACTCATACAAAACAAAATCGACCTGATTCGAGTTTAAAATCCTATTCATTTTTATGTAACTTGGGCATCGGCAAAGAAGGAGGAACAAAGTAAGAAGTTGATCTGTTTGCAACCGCCTCATATGCGTTATACCAGGCAGTGATTGCTGTAATCATGGCAATCACGCCGCCTGCTCGAGTCACACCAACTATACCCGTTAAAGCACCAGCCCCTAAAATTGCATACGTGAGAAACAAGAAAAAGAACAACAAAAATGCCGGAATAGTTGACTTGAGGGTGGGGATTACCATCATAAAAGTGAAAAGGGCCCACGCCACAAGCAAGAGTCCTATAGCATTGTTAAACTGGTCCGTTCCTTCGTATGCTTTATTAATACCAAAACCATCAATGAAAATTGCACCATAACTAATCCAAAATGCCCCATACGAAGTCAATGCAGTGAAGGCGAAAGTATCACCGGTAAAAAATTCAAAGTAGCCACAGATGAATTGTGTCATGCCTCCAAAAAAACAAGCTGACCCTATAACGACGTTTGGTATTTGAATCCCCATTGCCTGTGAAGTGAATAATCCCAGAGTAAAAGCAGTCATACCAAAACCACATAAACCTATGGGAGCGGGTGTGATATTTCTTCTAGGGTACCTCCAAGTCGTCGTATTTACTGGGCTTGAGTTTGAGATATCACTGAATATGGACATTAATTCATGACGGTAATATTTGTTGTTTCCAATGAGGACGAATTCTCCTCCTTCGCCACATATTTGGACTCGTGAAACTCGTGGTGATTCCCTATATTCAGCAGAATGTTTATCACTACTGTGATCTGAAGTTGTTGACATCTAACTACTGAGATGTTGTGAGTTAGCACTAAAGGGTGCATGGAAAATGCCATGACCACTACACTTACAGAGGGATATTTGAATATATATAATACCCCCTGTGACAAATGAATGCAAAATAAACTAAGCAGTTCGCTAATAGACTATATTGTAAGTACAAACTGTGGGGGGATGAACTGTAATTTAGAATAATATAGTAGATGCCAGTGGGGACGGCCGAGTTATAATAAAAGGCGAACTTCCAACCTAAAAATATACACTTTACGAACCTATTGGTCATCCGTTGTTGTTCTGCGGTATAAGACCCACTCCCCCGAACAGAGCTTTACTTTCTTTATTGGAAACGCAACACCCAATTAACCACCCTTTGATCATGCTGTAATTTTAAGTTGTTTCAGCAAAGAGGAAATGTAGTTATTCTCTACAGGATTGTGGCAGTGAGTTGACTGCAGCAAGAAACAATTGACCAGATTGACTTTTTAAGATTGGCTTTTCAAAATGGCAACAAACACAATACCGTTGCAAACCATTACAATAATGCCAGAGCAAAACTTTTAATAAACACAACATCACGGTTCCCACATAAAACTTTACAATAGCACATACACTCACAGCGTGCCTATTAGAAAATTGGTATCCTCCAAAATAGTGTTTTTATTTTTTATTCATACGAATGCGACATAATTATTCAAACCACAAAGACACAATTACAGTCTTTATTTTTGTTTCGTACTAGTGCGACATAATTGTTCATACCAATGCGACATATTTTTTTACACCAATACGACATATTTTTTCATACCAGAACGACATAAATTTTCAAACCAATGCGACATATTTTTTTACACCACCTACTCACCCAAAGTAATCTCCGTACCTCTAACCCGGTTGAAGAACCCGATCCTGTTGAATTAGGGCAATCATTTTAAGAGTATGGAATAATATCAAATCAGAATTTCTTTTGTTTGAGCTTAGTCATTTCCTACTTTCATTTCTCAAAGGTTTTGCTGTCATTTTCTCAAGTTAAATGCCGTTCCCTTCCTATTCATTAATTTGGGGACTTGTACTTTAGAAAGATGTCAGTTCTAAACAGTGTTGCATATGGTCATTGACATGTCTACAGAATCCTTGATAGCTTTCTAAGGTTATCTTTGCTGTCGCTTCTTTCACTTTTGGTGTCAACTGTTCTTTTCTAGATAAGTTTGACCGTTTAACCTTGGCCTTACACACGGACCAGAACTCTTCAATGGCATTGAGTGCTGGCGAATAAGGAGGCAAAAACACTAGCTCCATTCCACTCAGTGCTACTAATAACTGGAGATTGCGACGTTTATGGATGGCTGCGTTGTCAAGTATCAAATACTTGATTCCTTTAAGTGCCTTGTTTTTCTCAATTTCTTTAAGCACAGACTTGACAAATGCAAAGAAATGATTGGCCGTGGTACCCACTCTTGTCTTCTTTTCCGAAATCGTGGTGTAGGAACCGAGTTTTCTCTTCTTGTTAGGAGCAGTTTCGGCTGGAAGTGGCACCTTCAAGTCAACACATCCTTTGGAAGAGATGGCACCTAAGAATGATACATTGAGACCTCTGGTTACAGGAACGCTAAGAACTGCCTTTTCACCTACTTTTGACCATCCATATTCCCATCTCATACTGATGTTGAATCCAGCCTCGTCGATGAAAATACAGTACTTATCAAAGTTAAGTTTATCCTGATGTTCAAGTGCCCACTCGAATCTCTCCTGCTTTGATTCTGGCAGGTCTCTTCTCATGGCTCATTTAGAGATTCTGTTGAGACGGAACTTGCAAATTTTGATGAGAAAGTTATAAATAGTAGAAGCACTTGCCTTCGCACCTTCAAATGTACTCCTTAGTTTATTCAAAAAGAAGTCCAAGGTAACAATGGGGTCCGAAAGAACCAACTCTCTGTTGCTTGTGCGGCCTTATATGCGGAATCCCCTTGCCCCTTGCACGATAACTAATTGCCAGAATATTTGCTTCTGTACCTCAGAGTAGTATCTGTATGGACCCCTTTTACGTTTACAGTTTTCTTCTTGTCCAGAACTGATGTTTACATCTACATCTACATCTACACTATCACATTCCATTTCAGATTGCAGGTTATCAACTTCACTCTCATTTAGATGGAACGTTTCATTGTAGTCACTGTAACTAAAACACGATTCCAATGGGGCTATCTCACTTTCCAAAGCCATCTGGCCTGTGTCCAAGGTAAAGCAATTACCAAGCCCATCCACATATCTGTCTGTGTGTAACTCCAGCTTGAAATTCATTACCCCTTTTAATCTTATATTATGATATTCCTTTCCTACCCGAAACAAAATCACACAAAACAAAATTATGTCGCATTGGTTTGAAACATTTATGTCGTTTCAGTATGAATAAAAAATAGACTGTACAAGAATTAGTTTGATTGATAACTTGGGGTTTTCTAGGTTTTCGGTGCCGTATGAGTACGACAATCACAGGAGTAATGCAAATATCACGCCATTAATCACATTGGCTAATTTTTTGAGTAAACCTCAATAACTGTTGTAAAATGGAAACTTAGATTCACATGATTTGAGGATACAACACAGAATAATATATATATTTCTCTTGCAATATTAACTAATCGATGTATCATATTAAAAACCAACTGACAACTTAACTCAAAAAATAAAATACAACGACTAAGCAGAGAGTACGGTGGACGGAAAATACATAATCAATATAATACGAAATGGATAAAAAGAAAGATGATTTAAATGAAGAAGAATTGTGGAAATCCAATAGAATATTGCTCACGATACCAATATTAGTGTTGCTGTTTATCTGTATACAACAAGCGTTGTATATCGCTAGAAATGACAATACGACATGTTTGCAAGACGTTCAGCATGGTGGTCAAATACTGACTGTAAGTCTGGTATCACTTGATAAACGTGAATTAGCAGAAGTGAATCATATGACATCAGAAGTTAATGAGTACCTGAATGGTTTGGATGACGGCAATGATTTGATTGAGTATGTGAATATTGAACTAAGGAATAAGTGGATATGGACATCTTTAATAGCTGGTGGGATAATATTGGCAGCAGCAACATCTTTAGCAACGGTCTGGGCTCCTGCCTTGGTAGCTGGGAGTTTAGGTAGAATTATACGATTGTGGTCGGATTGAGTGCTGTATTGGGTGTAGTAGGTTCGGTGGGTTCTGCTGTTACTAGTGGAAAGAGAGACAGCTACAACAACGATTGGCAACATGAACAATTTATGGCGGTTGACGCAATGAATACGACATATTACTTCTATGATGTATTGAAGACAGTACAGTCTTTATATTTTTTATTCATACTAGTGAGACATAATTGTTCATACCAAAGCGACATTTATTATTCATACTAAAATGACATAATTTTTCAAACCAGTGCGACATAATTTTGTTTTGTGTGATTTTGTTTTGGGTAGAAAAGGAAAATCATAATATAAGATTAAAAGACGTAATAAATTTCAAGCTGGAGTTACACATAGACAGATATGTGAATGGGCTTGGTAATTGCTTCACTTTAAAGCCAGATCAGATGAATTTGGAAAGTGAGATAGCTCCATTGGAGTCGTGCTTCAGTTACAGTGACTACAATGAAACGTTCTATTCAAATGAGGTTAAAGTCGATAACCTGCAATCCGACACTGAATGTGACGAAGTAGATGTAGATGCAGACATAAGCTCTGGACAAAAAGAAAATTGACTTTAAAAAGAACTGTGTTTTCATCGACGAGGCTGGATTCAACATCAGTATGAGATGGGAATATGGATGGTCAAAAGTAGGTGAAAAGGCAGTTCTTAGCGTTCCTGTAACCAGAGGTCTCAATGTATCATTCTTAGGTGCCATCTCTTCCAAAGGATGTGTTGACTTGAAGGTGCCACTTACAGCTGAAACTGCTCCTAACAAGAAGAGAAAAGTTGATTCCAACACTACGATTTCGGAAAAGAAGGCAAGGGTTGGTACCACAGCTGATCATTTCTACTCATTTGTCAAGTTTGTGCTTAAAGAAATTGAAACAAACCAGGCACTTAAGGAAATCAAGTATTTGATAGTTGACAACGCAGCCATCCACAAACGTCGCGATCTCGAGTTATTGGTAGCACTGAGTGGAATGGAACTAGTGTTTTTGCCTCCTTATTCGCCAGCACTCAATGCAATTGAAGAGTTCTGGTCGGTGTGTAAGGCTAAAGTTAAGCAGTCAAATTTATCTAGAAAAGAACAGTTGACACCAAGAGTAAGAGAAGCGGCGGCAAAGATAACCTTGGAGAGCTGTCAAGGGTTCTGTAGCTATGCCAATGACCACATACAGTATTGTTTAGAGCTGAGGTCTTCATCGAGTGCTAATCCTTGTTCCAAAACCAATGAATCATCATCACCAACGTGTAATACTGCTGGTGTACTTTTCAATGGTACCTCTGGCAGTGGTAGCACAAAGTTGACAGGCTCCTTTCCTGAACTTGGCACTAGCCTCTCTTCAAGCGTACTCTCTTTGGAATTTTCAGAACTTGGAGCATCTTCATCTTCATTGTCACAGTCATCCCAAGGTGTAGCAATTCGTTTCACTGATAATGTGACAAAACTAGGTTGGGAAATGGTGTCAAAGCCAACTTTTTGAATACTGGAGGACTTCAGTCCCCGTTTGGTGTGTGTTTCTGGGGGTTTTACTATAGCAGCCATTGGGATAAAGCAGGTAGTGAAGCTGGATTTGTCGTCAATATCACTGACTGTTGCTAAGGAGATAGTAGAATTTTCTCTTTCACACCGAGAATGCTTCCTAGTTCTGGCAAACACCATTTTTGACTATTTGATAACCATTGATGTATCACTAACCAATTCATAGTCATCACGGGAAATCAACTGCTCAAAATCATCTCTATAATCATCGACTATCTCTTCCTCTCTCTCCATTTTAGATTTCATGAATCTTTTGCTTATGTGTTGGACTATGTTGGAGTGACTACCAGCAGCTTGTTTTTTGGTATGGGTAACTGCATCCATGAATTTTGACACTTTAATATGTGACTGCACTGGGTGGAATCCATTATCTTCATTATATTCCTTTAACCTTCTCTCACCAGTGGATTGGTGGATGTTGGGATGAATTTGGGTTGGTAATATCTTAACCTGGTCAGACGCATGTGATACCAAACTTCTCAACTCCGACAATGGTGATTCAATCAATGTGAATCCAATAGTGTCATCTTCCATACAGGCTTGGTTGTAATAAGTAACGCTTTGGTCCTCTTGTGAGGAAAACATATGTGATTCGTACATGTGTAAAAATAGTTTTAGTTTTGGTGCAAAAGAAGAGAAAGTGTATTCCATTTTAAATCTGGCATATTTTGGTGATCTTTTATATTTTTCGAGAAATGGGAATACCAAAGAAATTTGCAACCTTTTAATTCAAAAAATGATTTGTACTAACATTGTTGTCTACAGTTGGGCATCGCTGGAGAACAAAATACCTTGTAAAAAGCTGAAGTGTCTCATCAACCGAAGATTGTAAAAGGTAGCAATCTCTGTTATTGTTGCAAGAAATTGGTGTTGATGTTCAATGCAAAGATGGCTGTAAAAAAATCTACCACTATAGTGTCAGCACGTGACTAAGCGCGTGATTCGCTCATTGTCTTTGGCTATCCAACTCTTCAAATGGGGAATTCGAAATATCCCAACAGATCATAAAGTATGACACATTGGTGTAGTTTATGTTGTTTCAGTACCAAACAGTGAAAGAGTCCCCCATATACTAAGATTGCTCAACCCTAGAATAAAGCACAGTGAAGTGGTGCCAAGTAATGTGACTTTAACACAGCTTTTCATATGACACTAGGAATGTTGTCTTAGAAGGAGGTTTTTTTTGGACAATGGCTACCTTGACTTTCACATCAGGTGCCTTATGTGCTTGACTAGACGTGATGGGGCATACTTGCCGTTAGAAGCTGTGGTGGATTGAGTAAACTTTACTTTCCTTCCACGTTTAGATTTTTACATTTGATTAAAGTGTCGCACAAATTGCCCAACATTACTTAAACCATAATTGTAAAAAAAGAAGCTTGTGTATAGTAAGAAGTAAATTATATCGCATTTAATACAATTTTTATATAAACTATGAACCTACAAATTAGCCAACATCTCCGACTTTTATAGAATCCTTATTCATACTTATTAGGAAAGCTTATTATAGATTTGGCAGTGTGACGTCTCAACCCTAAACTGCGAATACTTCTCCTAGAAGAACTAAAACCTGCTCTTTTTTCCTTGTCAATCTGTCTGTTGATACTCTTTAACCACCAATTTGCAAATGTTATACTTGCAATCACAATCACGATCAATACACCAACAATACCAAAGAACCATGCAATACTTGAGTCTTGACCGGGAACTTTAACATTCATTCCGAATAAACCAGTGACCAAATTCAAAGGAACCAACATGGTACCAATAATGGTAACTTTGGAAAACATTTCCGTAATTCTGTTGTTCGAGTTAAAACTCTCAACTTGCAATTGAGCTAAATAGTTGGAATGAGACCGTGAAAATATCTTTTCATACGCCAATAAATTTTGAAACATTGTGATTATATGGTCCTGAATATCGCCCAAATATAAAGCAATATCTGCACGAGGACGAGCGTTGTCAGCCATGTTTTGCAGCCATGCTTGTGGCTGATTGGAAGTGGGAGGAGGTATGCTGCCATGTCCACTGTTGGTATTTGATGGAGTAGCGCCACCACCACTGCTATGCGTTTCAGGAATATTGGGTGACGAAGAACGAGGGGATACATAGTCTTGGTGATAACGTTGTTGCCGGAGCTGTTGCTGTTGCTGTTGCTTTTCATAGCCCAAAGCTGCTTCATCTTGACACCTCTTGGCAAACATCTTGATAACGTCCGCTTTTCCTGAGAGTAACCTCATCAATGTCATTACTTTTCTTCGTGACTCTCCAATCCTTTGCAACATATTGCTGAAATCTGTGTCTCTTGCAGTAAACACTGCATCTTCAATTGCATCTGCCTCATATTCGATACCATGAATAACAGGAGCAAAGCTATCAGTGATATCATCAATCATTGCATAACATAACCAATCGGCAGTAACAT